GGCTCGCAGCAATTGCTTCTGCGTATGTACATTTCCTTCATTACCCCAGCGGAGGGGGAGGGTGGGAGCAGCTTGCTGGGGCTTAACCCTTGGGGAGCTGTGTGTTGGGGCTCTGCCCACCTCGGGCAGCCGCCCGATGACCCCTCTGTCTGGCGAGCTGCTGGGCAATGGCATGACTTGTGCCTTGCAAGGGTCTGCCAGCTTCTGCCGCCACCCAGCCCTGGCCTGCTGCTCCGTGGGCGTATGCCAGAGCGCACACCTTTCCTCCATCCTGTCTTACATGCTGCCAGGGCTCTCGCCTTCACAGTCCTCATGCCAGCTCATAAAATGCTGGAGAAATGACCCTGGCGCTTGGCCCTGTGTGCAGGCGGGCTGGGGGAGGGGAGCTGCTTGCCTTCCACGGTCCCTGGGGCCATGTAACAGATTCTGCTTCCAGTGTCTACACTGTAAATACAGGCCTTGTGCTGGCTGGGGTCAAAGGTAGGAGGTGGTGATGCCAGGGGTGTGTTGGTGGGTCAGTGAGAGGGGCTAGAATGCCAGTGCCTACGGAAATCTTCCTACCTGCAACCCAGCCAGCTGCCCCGGGCTGTGTGACATTGGGCCAGATAGATGTCACCATCTCTGAGCTTCAGTTTCATCTGTCAGGCAGGCGTAGCCATGGTACCGATTTCAGAGGGTGGATGGATGATGACTTCAACTATTAGAACACACCCGAAGGCCCCAGCATGGCACCTAGCAGCGTGGAAGAGCCCTGAGGGAAGTTCTGTAATCTGTAATCACTCGTCCTCTGCTTCCCCCAAGGAGCCCACAGAGTGAAGTGCAAGTGAAGTCACAGGATGTGTGGCCCTGGAGGCCCCAGTGATGAGACTGGTGGCTTTGGGGAAGACAAAGATGGCAGGGCTAGAGTTGACTGAGCCAATGGGAGAGAGGAGGGGCAGATCGGAGGTACCAGTGGGGGCTCCAGCATGTGGGGCCTGGGGCCTGTAAGGAGTCTAGATGTCCTTCTACATGCCTACAGCAGAGAGAATTCCAGGGCCTTCCTCTCTGGCTCTACTCTGTCGGCTTATATGGCTTCAGGGCCAGTTAACCCTAATGACAGACTCCCCAGGTGAGCTGTCATGGCCAGAGGCCTCTCTGGTGACCCAACCTGTCTGCTGATTTGGGCTGGCTGGGGACTCCCAGGGCTGAGTCTCCCAGGGCACTCCCCTCTCTGGTGCCTCCCTCACCAGATCTGCCCACAGGTTCTAATGAACAGTCAGTGGTTCTACTGACGTCATTGGTTTATGCTCCATCTGCACAGCAAGTTTGTACTTTATTAAATATACATACACCTCCCATTTTCCAAGGGGAAAATGCTTCTTCTTTTCCTGCCCCAAGCCAGCTATAGAACTCCATAGCTTCTAGAAATGGTGAATTGATTCATTTGCTTCTCGAAGAGATTTGTTTTGCTTCCCTTCCGTGGGGACGCCAGGCCTGGAGGACGCAAGGAAGGATTCTGCCCTGAAGGACCTTGCAGCAGCAGAGCAGATGATATTAGCATAAGCTGAAAGCAGTGGGGCGGTTCGCAGGAGCCCGAGGGTGTGCATGCCGTTGAGTATTCCTTCCGGAAGCTGCTGGTGGAGGCTGCGCAGGAGGGGGCTCCTGGCCAAACGAGTTGGGTTAAGAAAACTTAGAAAGCTTCTGATGCTGCAGAATGCGTGAGACCCTCGCTTCCAAGACAGGAAAAGACAGAGGCTACCTGGCCCTGCCACTTACTTGCCCAGAGACCTTGAGGAAGGAGAATCCCTCACTGAGAGGACTCTAGACTCCAGCGCATGGTGGGTGACTTGAGGCTCCAGCTCACAGAAGAAGGGGGGAGAAATGAGGTATTCAGAATGTAGATGTGGGCGCGTGCAGCACTAGAGGTTGTGCCCAGGGCCTGTGCCTTAAGCTCCAGCCCTCTTTTAATATTGTTTCAGACAGGTCCTTGCTAAGTTGTCCAAACTGGGCAAAAAAAGAAAAGAAAAGAAAAGAAGAGAGAGAGAGAGAGAGAGAGAGAGAGAGAGAGAGAGAGAGAGGCAGAATAGACACTTTAAAATCAGAATTCTGTGTTTAAAACAAAACCAAATATGGGCTATAGGTGCACACTGGAGAGACCTCTGGGGCATGTGGCTCAGCAGCAGAGGCCAGCTGTAGAGGAGGCCATGCAGTAGGACCCTGTCCACAGGAGAAAATGACTCAGGGCAGAGCTGCCGGGCCACTTTGGCAAAGTGGAGTGGAAGAACGCAGGGCCTAGGGCGGAGGAGGTGCTTGCTGACTCTTACTGCAGATGTCTCAGGACAAGCCCGTGTGTCCGTGTTGCTTCCTTCTCCCCAGCGTGGCCTGAGCCCCCTTCTGTCCTCTTCTCGATATCTCCTGGTCTTTTCAGGAGGCATCCTATGTGGCATCCTTTCTGGGGGACACTCTCAGCCTCCCCATTCTCTTGTCCCCTCTTCCTATCACTTGGCCAACTTACTCTGGGCTCAGCCCAGCCCTCCAGGAACCTTGCCCAGTGCCCTAAGAAGCTGCCCCTCACAGAGTCACAAGCCTCCGTAAAGCACCAGCTGTGGCCTTTGAGTGTCAGCCTCAGTGAAGCTTTCAGTGGAAGTGCTACCAGCAGTCCGACAGCCTGTGGAGGTGCCCAAGTGCCTGGAAGCCCCAGCTGCCAGATCTACTGAGTCAGGCTTCCAGGTGGCCAGGTTTGGGGCTCCCTGCCACCAGCAGCCCTCTCCAAGTACAACATCTGCTCCTCTCCTACGGCCCTCCTGACCTCGCACCCAAGCACGGCATCAGGGTAACTCAGGCTTCACATCAACATCCCTTGCCCCTGGTTCCACAGAGGCATTTGGAAAATATTAATGTCCCAAGTTGGAAAACTTTTGAGCCAGCCCTGGGGCCTCTGTATCAAAGCCAGACCCCTGCTGCTCAGAAGGGATCGATAACCTGTAGCTGGAAATGATTTGAATTTGGGAAGCATGTGTTAAATCGGACTGGAGCTGCCAATTAGCCTGTCATCTGGGCCCCTGCTGGCAAGCCTGTTTGCTCAAAGTGATGGTCTGCTTACGGAAGTTATGGGCTTTGTATGTGCCAACCTGCGCCCTCCTGGCCCCTTCGCTGGGCCATTTAGCTGTCGAAATCTAGACATCTCAGGCCACAGTGACCGTGAGGTATTCACGCATCGGGCTGCTTTGCCTCCCCTCGTAATCTAAATCTAATTTATTGGCCCAGGGACGTAGGGAGCAGCCTAGGCACGTATCTGGTGTGCAGTGAAGAACAGCACACAATGTTCAGTGTAATGAGGCTCTTTATCGAAGGCATTCAGCAGGCTCTGGCTTAGGACGCCAGGGAGGCCCTGACTAGTTTCTCTGTGTGGCAGACCACAGGGCTATGTGTGGGGACAGCACAGAGCTTGGGGCCTCTGACTTGTCCTTTCCATCCGGTGGTTGATAAGATTAGAAGTCCTTGTGCTCCCTGCGGGCAGGAGCCACGTGTCGCAGGCACCTGTGATGAAAGGTGTTCAATAAAGCCTCATCGAATTAACCTGGATGGGACAGAAGCAGGAAGTTACTCTCCATGCACTTGCCGGGACTCTGAGCCTCGTTTCCTGCTCTGCTGAGCTGTGCTCAGCCTGCTTTGGAAGGTGTCACGTGGGCATCTCCTGCCCGTTGGCTGAAAGACTCTACTTATGTCCTACGGGACCAGGCCAAGTCCTTGGAGTAGAGAGGCCACTGAGAGGACATGTGGAGTATCAGAGACCCTGCAGTGAATTCCATCTCCTGCCCAGAGTCATGGTGGCAGAGGAAAGAAGGAACAAAAGACACAGTAGGGGCCCAGGCAGGGTCTGGGGGACCAGTTGTTCTGTGGGAACAAGAGGCCACGAGCTGCCCCAACCTTGGTGTTTATTGATCACATCTGAGTCGGGGCAGTGAGCAAAGGGCAGTGGGTATTTCTGGGAACAGTAATGGTGACTACCTTAGACTAGGAAGACCGAAGCCTTCTTGCAAGGACAAGGGCAAGGATGACATGCGGGCAGGAAGGAAACCGTAACTTTCCCAGTGTCTTCAGTAGGCCTTATCCTGCCATGTGAATGCCACAGCAGGGCAAGGCCTAAGGCTTTCAGCTGTGACCAGAAAAGAGTAGAGTATCCCAGGTCCAATCGGGCCCAAGGGCAGGACAAGAGCAGCCTGGGACACCTCGTAACTCAATTTATAATCATTGTGGTCCCCAACAATGGGAAGCATCCATCTTTCCTCCTAGAACGTGGCTGAATCCTTCCTCCACGCCTCTCTTCATTCCCTCCGTGAACACTCAAAGCTCTTTGCTTCTTCAGACAGCCTTTCACACAGGATGTGGGGGAGCCTCAAACCGGGACGCCTTGCAGCCCCAACATCTTTGGCTTGACACATACCAATCTGTCAATGAAGGTCCACACCACAATCCCAGCCACAGCCGGCGTCCTGAGAGCTCAGCTGTGCCCGCTCGCATATGCACCTCCGCAGCTGCCTTGGCGGGCACAGCAGAGCGACTGGGTTGGGAGGGCTGACAGCCCGCAGAGCCAACGTGGCATGCTTCGGCCCTTTACACTGGCCCATATCTACTAGGTAGCTGATGTGGGGAAACTCAGGAGAGCAGACCAATGCCACAGCTTCAGGGACAAGCACAGCTGGATTTGTGTCATCCTGTCACCCCTGATCAGCTCGTGTCCTCTGGCAATCCACAGGCCAGCAAATGGGGACTGCTGTAGTGCTTGGCTTACGGAGAGCACTCTGGGGTGTCAGTCCTCTCTCTTTTTTATTTTTTGTTGCACATATGAGACAAAAAACACACACCATGGTCTTTCTGGGCCTGGCATATTTTTCTTTCTAATCTTTTGAACATTTTATTTATTTATTTATTATTGATACAGGGTCTCTCTACACAGTTCAGACTCATAATGATCCTCCTGTCTCAGCCTCCCCAGCACTGGGATTATAGATGTGCGCCACCACACCAAGGTTCTGGGCCAGCTGGGCGTGTGGTACTGGGGATTGAACTTGGCATCTTGCGCTTGGGCCTGGCATATTTCTCTGAACATGATGTCCTCTAGGTTCATTCCTTTTCCCGCAAATGTCATGGCTTCGTTCTTCTGGATGGGTGGCTAACACCTCACTCCTCACACACAGCACACTTCCTGAACCCATTCATCCGGTGATGCGCATCCAGGCTGGCCGGACAGCGTGGCTATGGAGAAAGTTCTGCAGGAGCCTCGGGTGTCCAGGCAACTCTACGGAAGGGCTCTGAACCCCTGGGTCACTGGCACTGCCTGCAACCTGTTAGGAACTGAGGGGTGCAGCAGGAACAGAGGGGCAGGCCCGCAGGAGAAGTTTCATCCATATTTATAGCTGCTCTGGGATGGAGGGAAATAGGAAAATGAAGTAAGAAGAAGGAGTTCCTGTGCGGAGAATTCCAGGATCTAGGGTACCCAGAGGCAGGCCTGCCCTTGGGCCGTAGATAAATTAGGAAGGGCTTCCCACAGAGGCCGGGTGCATAGTCAAAGCAGAGAGGTATGGAGGGAGGAACAAAGGTTGGAGCTAAAGGAGGGCTGCAGGGGCCATGCAACTCTGCTGACCTCGGCTTTGGACCCTGTCTCCTGCTTCCCGGCTGTGTCATCTCAACTCAGCACCTTCAGTTCTCTGCACATCTGTCTCCTGGTTTATAAAACACAGGCAGTGATGTGATGGCGACAGCTTCTGCAACGACCACGAATAATAATAATAACACCAGCCTCCTAAGGGGGTTCAACAGCAGTTACTCACCAAATAGCCATCCGTCACTTTCTATTTTCCTGACTCTGGGGATGAACAGAAAGCAAGTGTATACCTTGTCATCAGGAAGAGTGGAAAAAAACAAATAACAAGCAAAAAACCCCCATGATCATAAAGCTACGTGAGTGCCCAAGAGAGCCAAAGGAAGCAGGGCTAGCAGAGGGCAGAGGGCAGGGGAGACACTGGGAAGAGGTCAGGCGTGCAGCTCCTGGATGGCCATGCCCCTCGCCTGTGCCCCCATGCCCCTAAGCCCTGCGGGAGGGCAGGCCTCGCTCGACAGCTCAGCTCCTCATTTTGCAGCACTCACTGACCGAAAGTTCTGCGCCAGCAACCCCGGAGTGATGTCCAGCCCACAGACAAATTGCATTTCTCCTGTCTACAAATTGTTTTCTTTTCAAAAATTTGATTCCACCTGCTAAAATTTTAAATCAAGAGATAGCTCAAAAGAACACCAATTTCCAGTTTCTGCCAAAACACGTACACGGGAAAATTCAGCCACCGTGGGCCACTTTCCCTGCAGGCATAAACAATCCAATTCTCCATACCCATCCACCTCTGTCTCACATACCTGTCTGGCTCTGCCACATCTCCCAGCCCCATTAGGCCCCTAAGTTTATAGAATTCTTGGTGCTGGAGAGACATTGCAGGAGCAGCTGCTGCTGGACATGACCCACAGGCCTGCAGACCCAAGGCTGTCTTCTCTGCCTCAATCTGGGCGTGCCCTCGTGGACCCAGGGTCCTCTGGTCTGTGCCCTTCAGCCAGTGAAATCACCCACAGGAGATCGAGGGGCATTTACTTTCCTGCCTCACTCCTTTCTGGGTGGGTGACACAGGTCCAGGACCTGGAACGGGCTGCACTGTGATCTGTCATCTGGGACTGTACTAACCCCTTGCTTTTCCTGAGGCCTGCCCCACTCTTTCCAAAATAATTTCAGACAGTGCCCTTCCTTCAGGGCCCAGCGCCACCTACGCCAAGGTGGCTGCTCTCTTGGCTGGTGGCAGGTGCTCAAGGTATAGGTGCCAGAGCCACGGAGGACACTGTTGACACTATGTCCTCTGGGCTTCTTCAAGCCCTGAGCCCTGCACCTCTTGTCCCTCACTGTCTTACTTACTTTTTCTGCTGCTGAGATAAAATATCTAACTCTCAAAGTTGAAGGAGGAAATGCTCATTTAGCTCAGTTTGTAGAGGCTGCAGGCCATCACCGACTGGCTCCAAGGCCGGGTGGTGGGGCAGAGGGGCATCGCTGAGGAGAAGTGGCTCACGGCAGGCAGAAGGCAGCGACGCAAGCAAGGGACCTCAGCAGGTTTTGGTTTTTCTTCTGCTCCTTTTATATTCTATCGAGGCCACTGGGGTTAGGGTGGTGCCAAACCACTCCATGAACTGATTTAATAATCACCCTCCCTTAATCTTAGCACTGTGAACCCAGCCTTGCGCCAGGAACCAGTCACACGCTCTAGATCCAGCCGCCTTGGAAAAGCACCGCCTATGACTGCACGAGGTTTTGGAGGGACATCTAGCTGGACATGTGCCATAACCCCACCAACCCATCTGGGCTCCTAGACATGCCACCCAGCCCAGGAATTGTGACACTTCCCTTTCTCAAATTCCCTGGGATGCTTTAAAGGCGAGTCCTGTCTGTGCTGTAAGTAGCAACAGAGTGTGGTTCAAATTGTGACAGCACAGGGCCACCACTCACTGCTAGAGCCCTGGGAGGGAGTTACTGCTTTCCTTGGGTATTTTAAGGCAGCCACAGAAAGCTATAGCAGGTGTGGCTCCAAGTCACAGTCTTTGTTTTCTGGCCTTTTTTTGTCACAGAGGCAGTGAGTTCTGACCACCCTGAGCAGTTTCCTATACCTTTGGGAGCAGAAACAGAGGAAAGAGGGCTCCCACCCGAGAAGGGCCTTGTCCCCTAGCCAGCCCCATGAGTCCTCTGGGAACCCAAGCCACCGTTGATCAAAGCACAGTGCCGGTAAATCGTGTTTGCTGTGTGAGCATCGTGTAAGCCAATTTTACAGGAGCTAGAACTGAGGCTGACAAGGTAGGGCCCTCTCCCAGAATTTCGGAGCAGGTGGAGGAACAGTAGAGGCTAAGACACCCCAGAAGCAGCAACTGGCGCTGGCCATAATGAGCCAGGCCCCTGCGGCTCCAGTCCGGGGCCCCCCTGCATCCCCCACCTGCCTGCTGGTGCTGACCGAGGGATCCAGGCTGCAAGCAGCTGGGCACAGAGTGCAGCCCAGTCCCACGACCCCCCGTGCTTCTCCACACCCAGAAGCCTCCTTGGACAGCCTTGGAGAATTGATGGAGGAAGAAGTGGGCCTGCCTGGTGCGGGGGAGGATCAGACCGACATTAAATAACCCTAGTGGAGCAGCTGTTCCGCTGTGGGCGGAGCGGGATGAAAAATGAAGCTGGAGCTCAGAGGTGTCGCAGAGAGCACACCAGCCACGCAGGGCCCTCGGGCATCGTGCCCACGTGCTAGGTGCTGAGCACTCACCAAGCGCCACCCCTGAGCCAGGTGCCGGGTGCTGAGATGAGGAGGGGTTGGTGGTAGTGAGGGGAGGCATCACTTGACCTAAGGCGGTCCATCTGCATAAATAAATGTGACCAAAGCCCCATGGGGAGGCCCACTCGGAGCTGGGCATCCTACACAGCCAGCGCATACTAGAGAAACACAAGTGGAAGCACATTCTCTACCTTCTTTCATCTTGAAATAAAACAACAAAAACAGCATTAAATGCATCCAGCTCCTTGGGAGGCTGCGGCAGGAAGACTGCAAGTTCAAGGCTAGCCTGAGCGACTTAGCAAGACCCTGTCTCAAAATCAAAAATAAAAAGGGTGGAGGGTGTAGCTCGGTGGTAGAGCACTTGGCTAGCATGCATGATGTCTTGGGTTAAGTCCAGAACTGGGAAAAAAGGCAGCATGAAAGGAACTCTGATTCCCAAGCCAGGGAATATTTCTTATACACCACTCACTTCCTGTCGCCTAGTCCGCTCCTGCCCCCTCTTTTCCCCAGAGGCTCTTGTTCACTTAACCTCCCTTAAAGCACACTCCTGCCTGACACTACACAGCGTCTCCTGTCTCCTCTTTCCTCCCTCTCTCAGCTTGCTGTTAAGGAGGTTTTCATCCAACCACCAGTTAAGGGAAGGAGCTCCTCTGTCCTGCTTGCCCCTAACTCTCTCCATCTGTCCCAAGGCCTGGCTTGCAGGGGTGGGCCTTTCTTTGGCTTACCAGGCCTGGTCTTGGTTTGCGACTGTTGCCCTCATGTCCAGTAGTTCCCCCCTCGCCCTCACATCTGTTTATTGACAATACATCATTTAGTCTTTTTACACTTCCATCACCCCCAAAGCCTCTCTGCTGGGGTCATCATCCTTCAAAACAGATCTCGTTCTAGGACTTCGTATTTTGAAATGTGCTATTTGTTTGGAAGCAGAGTCTGCTTTGTATTCTATCTGCACCAGGAACTACAAAGGCTTGGGACATATACATTATATGTTATATATGTAATATATATGTATAAAATAGGTGGAGGGAGGTATGGAAGGATGGAGGGAAGAAATAATAGATGTTGGAATGGATGGATGAATGGATGATGAAATAAAGGGATGGATGGATGGATTGATGGATGGATGGATGGGTGGATGGGTGGATGGGTGGATGGATGAATGGATGGATGGATGGATGGATGGGTGGATGGATGGATGGATGGATGGATGGATGGATGGATGGATGGGTGGATGGGTGGATGGGTGGATGGATGAATGGATGGATGGGTGGGTGGATGGGTGGATGGATGGATGGATGGGTAGATGGATGGATGGATGGATGGATGGATGGATGGATGGGTGGAAAGATGGAGGGAATGATAGATGTCAGGATGGAAAGACTGATGAAAGAATGGATTTATAAAAAATGGATAAAAGGATGATGGATGGATGGATGCAAGCATACATGGTGGGATAGATTGATGGTGGAAGCAAGAGAAGGAGGGATAGATAAATGGATGGATATTAAGGAAACTAGTTAGGAAACTGTAAGAGAAGGTGATAAAATAGATTTGAAATGGCAATAAGGGAGTTATTTTGTGAGCTATTTTAGAAGTAGAATCAAATGGACATAAATACGCTTTGTGGCACCAGTGACAAGCCTGAACACCTGCCCAGATCCCTGGTTCGAGTCTTTACTCCCAAGCACCTCACCCTAGAGACAAAATCCTGTGTCTTAGCAACCTGCTGTCCTGAAGGCAGGGTCAGAGCAGGAGCAGGAGACTAGTGACCGGGCCTCACGATCACGCCTCTCGGAAGGTGCCAGCCCTGGATGACCACCTCTACAACCCTCAAAAGGTGGAAAACCAGGCTTGTGACACATCATAAAAAGTTGGAAAATCCAGACCAAATGGAGCCAGCGTCGGTCAGCAGGGGCTCCCGCATGCCCTATGCTTCCCTGCAGTGTGCAGCGGGCCACTCTGAGCCTGGTCTCCTCATAGGTAACACAGAGACGGTGCAGGAGTAGCCCCTGCCTCCCCGGGCTGGTTCGGAAGCTTCCACAAGTGAGCCATCACACGGGGCGGCCAGACACCGCTCTACGTGCAGAAGGCAATCCCCAGCTGGGCCGAGTGTGATTAGTATTTGTGTCGGGACCTTACATGCGTCATTTTATTCCATACTCACAACCAGCCTCCGGTCTGGGCTCCCTCTAGTCTGTTGATGAGGAAACCTAAACTCGGAGGACCGAAGGGTCTTGCCTGGCTTGTGCATTTTACCTGCTAAGTTTACATAGGACCCAAGCTGGCATACTTGTTTGTGACAGGCCACATATAACGTAATGTTGCATAAAGTGCTACAAAGCTGAAACACTGTCTGCTTTGCAGGCTTTCCAGTTTCCACTGTGACTGCAGGTGCTCCCCAACTTACGATGGGGTTATTCCCA